GAGAGAGAGAGAGAGAGAGAGAGAGAGAGAGAGAGAGAGAGAGAGAGAGAGAGAGAGAGAGAACGTGAAAGGAAATTAGCAGGGATGTAGGCCTAATGTGTCTCATCACATCTTTATTGGTAAGCAGGAAAGTTGTACATGTCAGATTTACCTGATCGATCTCATACTTGCTGTGATTTTTCAATGGGTATCAGGAAGATGAAAATGAAGCATACCACGAAAAGCTAAATAAACACAAGACGGAAGCCGAGGCACGGACTGCAAAGAAGCGTGCAAAGAGGCTAAAGAAAAAAGAAAAGATGAAGGAGAAGAAATTTAAAAAAGGAGGCAAGTTTCAGACAAATTTAGTGTTTAAATGTGAGATATTATATATCCAGAATGATGCCATTATTTGTAACAGACTGGTGCCACTGCATCAGATTGTCACTTGATTTATACGAGGTTTAAATTATAAATAACGATCAGTGACCTAATCTGACTTCTGACGCACATAGCTGCTGAGTCTGATATAGCTTGTAATCAACAGCAATTTTCAGCAGTTTGATAGTTATGCATCATAATCTGCTCTTGGTAAGTCACAGAATTAATATAGGCAAAGTGCTGTCAGCAGACAATATTAACACTGGCAACAACGCCATCGCTCGGTTGGAAATGGATATTTCATGTCTTTTTTTTATAATTCCGTAGTTGAGAAATACTGTAATTGAATGTCAATCTTTGGTTGTGTACTGAATTTAGACTTGAACAACTAAATATTTGACATGTTTGACACATTGCAGATGATCGTGCCGGGGATGAGGCGAGACGGCAGAAAGAATCGGATGAATCGGGGAGCTCCGACGCGGATCGTTCTGACACGTGATTGGTGACGCAGCGCACGTGACAGGTGCTGTCATTAGAACCTTGGGAAACGCTTTTGATTACATACGAGGACAATCGAAGTGTCCAACGTCGCTTTTATAATCACAATACGAAAGTGGTTATGCCTATTTTGATCGTACCATAGCCCTAATTCAGTGCAGAAAAGTTGCATTGCAAGCTAAGAACACGAGGATTATTCACAAGCCAAGAAGTTGTTAGTTTTAGAGGTCAGCAATCATATTTTTGACATGAGCTATTGTAAATATATGTGTGATCTTGATATGGGCATCAATATCAAGATGTAGGATTAGAAAAGGAGTATGTATGTACAACCACACATATTTCTATATTTTGTGTGGAACAAATCATTATATCATGAGAAGAATCTGTATATAAGTAGAACATAACAGTTTTTTGTTTTATTAAAGAATATATTTTATATCATTATGTAAAGATGAGATTAAATGTCCGAACATATAAGAATAATAATTTTCATAATTAGCCATCACCTAATTAGAATTAATCACATTTGTATTTCTAAAATTAACTTGTCAAAGGTACAAATTCCTACATACAACCAACCAGGCATGTGATTTCCTAATTCAAACACTCGCGCGATTGTGAATTCACGCGTTGTCTACACAATTCTCTGGACCCAATCATAACACAGATCAACCTAAATATAAGGAACGCACTTTGACATGACATCCCCAATTGAAAGTTGGGTAATTATCGGTTGCCCCAACATCGATTTACCAATGATTATATAGTATCAATAAAGCAATCATACTTGACCATCTGTCCAGATCTATGGTGCCCTGTAGTAGCACGACTGGCACAATAAAACTACCGATTGAAAATCCCACGAAGAATCGACGATGATGATGATGTAATGCTCACTTGAACGGAATCCACTTCACGAGTTCGAAACAGACCTGAAGAAGACAAAATCCAAGATGTCCACAAGTCTGCTAAAACCAACTTCTCACATAAAACTATATTGTGTAGCTACTAAGGCGTGCATGCACATGCATGAAACCAGCAAAGAACAGTACAAAGCATTAACTAATCAAATACGCAGACAAACAGCTACATATAACACACAAACAAAACAACATCACGGCGAAACAGACAGAGATATGCACAATACAGCGCGAAGCTAAAAAATTATGCCTGTTAAATGAAAATGCAAAGGCGTATCGTGGGCACAGGACCCTGCCAGACGTACAAACAGGTCTGAGAATGATACACGACAAAGCCAGATTCGAACGCGTAGAGAACGGACGCGGCGCGGCGAGACACAAGCATTGCCAGGGGGCGCTCACCTCGACGGCGATGAGTATGATGATCATCCACTCAAGGCGGGTGTGGTGCCGATCGCTGAGGTGATCCTTCAGCAGCTGCGCGAGCTCACAGCACAGATTCAGCTTCTCATTCATCACCTGCAAACACATCCCTATGTCAGCGCCCTCCAGTGGGGAAACGTGCAAACATCTCACGGTTGCCGGACTAACGTGTGAGCGCCCTCCAGTGGGGAAACGTGCAAACATCTCACGGTTGCCGGACTAAACGTGTGAGCGCCCTCCAGTGGGGAAACGTGCAAACATCTCACGGTTGCCGGATTAAACGTTTGAACGCCGGCTACTGGGGAGACACCAAGCGATTTCTCATCCATGGCATGGATTAACTACAGACCTGCCAACCTGTGATTCATGAAAATAGTAAGGATTTTCTTTTATTGCAGCAGGCGGCCATTTTGTTTGTATGTTATGCGCGCAATGAATGATGGGACTAACTCTAGATCACGCGAGAACAACGTGAACGCGTGATCCAATATGGCTGCGCCCACAATCGCCAGATATTTTTCGCCTCACAATGTAAAAAACACATTAATTTTCAAGTCGTAAAAAATCGTAAGTTTTTCAGTTTGATCGTACATTCGTAAAAACATCTTGGAATTAGTAAGGAATACGAAAAAATCGTAAGGGTTGGCAGGTCTGCACACATCATGAAGCCAGTGTTTTGAAGGCGCCATTTGCATATTAGTTGTTGCTATAATTAAATATGCCATGGTGTTACGATGTGTTCAATTCTAATTTTCTATGCTACAACACCATAAATTCTTAGTGTTTTCTCAAGTTGGCGTAATCAGTAACATATATATGCTATTAGGTGAGACTACATTTTGCGCCATAGTTTTCCAGGCTTTGCATTTTCGAGCAATGATTTCGAAATCCTGGCTTCTAATGATCGGTGCACAAACTCACCCTGGTCCTTCTGGCAATGTTCAGATGGATACACATCTTCTCGTAGATCGGTTCGAGATGCTCCCTGTCCCAGTAGAAGTCAGGAGTGTCGAGCAGGTCCGAGCTCAAGTTTATCAGATGTCTGACGAGGTGACATATAGTCAGCATAATTTATAGATGCATATATTCTCTAATAGAGGGCACTACCTTTTCTTTATATATATTTACATATATATATACATATATATATATACACGCACGCACACACACATAATGGTATTATGGATAAATTGTTTCTTTACCAATAGGTCGTGTTAGTGGACATATCTATCAAGGTAACATGCCCTTGTCCAGATACGCAATCACGGAACCGATGAGGAATGATATTAATTCATCGTCAGTTCACTGATCTGACACCCACCTGAGCGCGAACAGCTCTCCTGTCTTACGCAGCACGTCTTCCCGTGAGATTGTCATCTGCTTCCCTAACTTCATCGTATCAGTGACCCACTTTATCGATTCGACGTAGCGGTCGAGTGAGGCTTCCCAGATGCCCAGCTTCACTAAAAACAAACGACGCATTAGGGCTTTTACTTCTTTCGAGTTATCGGTTATAGTTACAGTATCGTATAAATAAAGATACGTATCTCATACAGAGTATATTACTATACAATGTGCTACTTACCGGACAAGACCATGGAGTTAGAAAAAGCATACTTGTCGAGCTGTGGTGATACATCTGCATTCAGAAAAATGCGACCCTTTGACAGTTTCGATGCCAAACTGAAAGAACAAGTAGGAAACGAGTGTCACCACGAGCAGCGAGGATGCAGGGATAAATCTGTTTAATTCCAACTTAGTTTCTACTAAACTAGCGGGATACCCGGCGTTGCCCGGGGACATCAGTGGCGTTACTCAGTTGGTGACCGCTTGGTTGAAAGGAAAATACCCAAAAAAATCGAACTATCTATCTATCCATGCATCCATCCCAGCAGCCATGCATCCATCCCATTCCATCCCATCCCATCCCATCAGACCGCATCCCATCCCATATCCCATCCCATCTCATCCCATGCCATGTCTTGCCATCCAATCCCATGCCATGCCATGCCGTGCCATCCCAAACAGTAAAAAATAAGAAGAAATCAAAAAATAAAATAAATTAAAATTAAAAATTAAAATTAAAAATTGAAAAATTGAAAATAATACATACTAAAGAGGTAGGTAAAGGGAAAAAAGAAAAAAAAGGGCAAATAAGTTCCCCAGCTGGGACTCGAACCCGGAATCCCGGTGTAGGAGACAGATGTTCTAGCGATTAGGCCACTGCGCCGTTAAGGGTATAGACCATGGATTCACACGTACGTGATGTTAATCTGTACGCACCGCCATTTATTGATGAATAGAATTTTTATCAATTTTTAACCTTTTTAAATTTTTGTTTCAGCGATAACCACCTCCCAGACGTGCTGATTCTGAAAATATCTTTAGTTTTCCTCTAGGCTGCGGAGTTCTCTAGTTATGCGAGTACGGACTAATTCGGCTGAACAATACTTACGTAACTTACGTAACTAGTTACGCATCTTAATTTTCAGAGGGCGATTTTTTTCGTCTAGGAACGTCTAGAATTTCATCCGGTATAGGAAATCGGCCTCTCAAAACTGCATCCAGATCGCTTGGGCGGTTTGGCCGGGCATAGGGGACATACATACATACACACATACATACAAACTGAAATATAGATTAGATTACTTTATCTCAGTACCACTGTTTGTAACTGCCTTAAATTGAAAAACGGTGTGGCAAAACGCCATTACGCTTCTAGATCTGAAGACGGAAGAGGAATAGATCAATGATCTGAATATCAGTAAGACTATAAATGTGTTGAGAGAACGATATCCAGTCAAACCTGTTGCAACGGTCCTCTCTATAAACTATCTATAAAGGACACTGCCGGCATTTCCCTAGGGTGACAGTTATACAGTGAGACCAAATCTTTAGAACAAACACCTGTCTGCAAAAGACAGTTTTAACATTTCTGTAAAGTGGTGGTTATTCAGCGCATCCAGCCTCTATAGAATGGACACCTGTCTACACAGGATGCTTTTGGCATTTCCCTGGACCAACCTTCACAAACAGGTTTGACTGTATGCTGACTAGGAAGTCACTGTGAGATTGATACACTCACTCGACATATGTATACTTCATCTCTTCCCTCTCACGGTCAGTTATCTCATCCTCATAAGATGACTCCTCAAACTCGCGCAGAAACCGTCTCAGTGTGTTCCTCTGTAATGTTTTCCACATCGCATTATTCGCTACACTCAAGTTGCTGCCTCCAACCGAGTTCAGTATCAAATCACATTATTCCCCAGTGCTCGAACTACTCCCATCAAGTGACATTGAGTACTGCACACACAGGGCATCAATACTTGGTAAGGTTTCAATGAACTTGGGCTATGAGAACATAAACATCAGAAATCAACAACACGATTGAAGTAAGTGATGACTCTTACTACGATACTTTAGAATAGATATATGACACGTGAAACAGACATTTTGTCAAAAGTAGCCTACGTGGTACGGTTGCAGATTTGGGGCAGAGGCAATCTTTCTTACCTGTGACCACAGCACAAGATACTCCGCAATTAAACTACTATAATGTGGCCCATAGTGTGGAGCTAAGGAACTATTACTATGTTTCGATACCAACCTCCAACTCTGGAACATTCCAGAAGACAACAGAGCCTTCTCGAAACATGTAGATCTCTCTTGGCTCTGTGCCGACAGTGTACTTTGCAGTGACATGTAGAGAATCATGCATGTCTGAAAAAGGCAAGCGATAACTTGCAGGTGTAGTGCGAATCTCGGTTGTTTTTCTTTGTAACTGGAAAGAGAAATATAGTTCATGTAAGGATGAGTATTGAGTAATGTGTTATTAGGTGCAAGTGGTACACACCTTCGGGCATGGAGGATAACTTATAGAGGCCCTGTTGCTGCAAGGCTGCACTCAGTCTCTCGAGATCATATTCCTCGGCCGTTGCATATGCAGAAACATCCCACTCCTCCTTCTGTAACACGTGACCCTTATTAAAATATATTACATTAAAGAATAATACTTGATGTAAGAATATTCATCAAAGTTCTCCCCAGGTTTTCCCCAGGACTTTCAGAAGGCATGTCGGGTAATAAGGTTCAGCACTAAATTTTTACATGCCATTACATTTTTTCATTAAATTACATGCAATAAAGATTTGATAATAATAATAATAATAAATGCTGATCGGAGTTAGTTTCGCATTGTAAACAGGCTCAATACACAGATAAACTTAATCAGGAGATGTATACTTCAAGCTGTGTGAACCCAGCATGACTCTTGGGACTGTCAAAAGTAAGCGCATTTGGAAATTAGAGAATGTCAATTAGGAAATTAAGGTATGTTGGGGGATTTATGGAATGTCACAAATTAGCACCAGCTTTGAAAGTATGTCGGACCAGACCTGCGTTAGGCATGGGGAGAATCCTGGATTATAACAGAAAAGGACAGCCTAACATTGATCAAATGACATGTTGAAAATACAGAGTGGCTATATGCCCGGCAGCCGGCATATATATATCTGACGGCTGCCGGGCACGGTCTTCAATTTCCTAGATGCCCGGCAGTTTTTAATTTTCAGCATTATCTCAAGTAAACAAGGGTTAGGGTTAGGAACTGCCGGGCATTTAGGAAATCGAAGACCGTGCCCGGCTGCCAGGTATATAGCCACAGCGTTGAAAATAATCTCACCACGACACGTCATTCAAACAATGACAGCATGTTCCAGCAAAGTTCATGCACCTATCAATATAATTTCAGCTATAAAGACCAAGGTCAATTAAACTTAAAGATGTCACAAATGCCAAAATCTTGAACAACGTACAGTGTTTCAGTATCTTATCATTATATTATCAGTACCAGAGGTATTTTTGATGCACTATCATCTTCTTCTTCCACTACAGCTCTCTTCTTGATTGGTCTTTTGGTATCTAGTGCGGATATGTGCTTTTGGATGCCACCAACAGTAGCTGACAGATGTCTTTGCGATGAACAATCGATCAAGGAACATTTGAGAAGCAGGCTGGACTGTGTATGCTTATAAACGATGGCCGACGAACTCAAAGCTAGCCGTGAAATACCACTACTTCCGTGCCTAATAGCCAACACTGAAATTCCAGCGTTTAAACGATTTGAAACCCCTTCTTTTACCAATGATGACACGTTTGGACACAACTCGTTTCGTAATAACTGCGTAGAGAGTTGGCGACCTAGAAGAAGTACATTTTTAAACACCTTACTTGACATTCTTATAAAAATAACTCGTTATTGTATCAGCAATAACCAGACACAGTGACACATATATTATCACATCCGTAGATACGTGACCTACATCTATGCCCACATCACTGATACAGGTACTAACTGGATAGATAGACCAGATAGACTAAATACTTAGTATTTTCTACACGTAGTCGTAGAATTTACAGAGGCGCCCATGTGCGATACCAGCGCCGACTAACGGTAAATATAGCAATCATTTCACCACATCACGGCGAGGATGAAGTTTTATTTATTTCACTCTCTAAGAAACGGTTATACATCGAATGTGTATTGATGTTAGCCTAGGATAACCTTTATCCAGGATCCAGTGGCGTAGGGGGCTCCAGTGGCGTAGGGGGCTCCAGAATTTTTTAACACGGGGGGGGGCATAAACAGCGAACAGCGCAAAATAGTGGATCGATGAATTAATATGTTAATGGTTCCTCCGCCTCCCTCTCCACACGTCTGTGCTCCCCACCTCTAGCTCTGCGATCTTTGTTTTGGGTGCCATGCATGCAAAAAGGTGACATTTGTGTTCGTTGTTCTCTGCTCCCGTTCGTTGTTCGCTGTTGTGACTGTTCAGTGGCGGATCCAGAAGTCCAAGGAGGAGGTGTGTATGTGTGAAAAACAGGCGGGCCGGGGTAAGGAGGTTCTCCAGAAAATTTTGAAAATGTAGATAGCAGAAGATGGTATTTGAGGCACTTTTGAGTACATGTACAGCCTTCAGTCTGACTACGACAATTCTCTTTTTAGTAGATTTTTTAATTTTAATTTTTAATTCTTTAACTTTTGGATCAACAGGAGGGGGCCATGGCCCCCTTTGGCCCTCTCCTAACTACGCTACTGTCTGGATCGGTCAATGTATAGGTAGGTAGCAATGCAGTGTTGTAGTGGTAAATTATTTTTTGGGTATACTCCCTTATACTGATAGCTCAATCATCGAAGCAACAAGCCAATGACGAGGCGCTGCGCCGTGGTGGTGATTCACAAACACAGTGCCCCCCCCTCCCTCCCAAGTGACCCAACCCTGACCAGATCAAAATTACAAAGAAACATACACAATCAAATCATCTTTCACAATAAATATGTAGGAAAGCGCCAGTTCCCATCAGTCTATATTAGTTCGTATTCTATAATAGTTCGCGGCACGAACGCAATCACAATAAACCACTTCCATCACATATATAATGGTGATTCCGCCGCGATGCCCACCTGCCCCGTCTCTAGGGACCAGAGACTTGTTGACGCCTAATGCGCAGGTAGAGACTCTCGGCTCTCATCCTTTAAGCAGCACGGTCCAGTTTTCACCTAGCTCCTACACCCTATCCCAGCCACACTTTTTCGCTTCTCCGTTCTGCCTTGGTATTCTCACACCAGTCCTCGATCTTAACTATCTTCACGTATCTTCTCACGTATCCTCACGTAGCCTCTCACGTATCTTCTGCCTGCCGTCTTCACCCCGGCCGAGCGTCTCAGTGAAGATCCGCGATAAAGTACGAGATTATTGTTAGTCGGTTACATTTCTGATGCTACCCGTAATGGGACTTCCCACATGCTAAACCGTAGAGCCTGGATCGGGAAGAGAAACACTTCCTTAGAAATATCCCCTCAAAATTTTAATGTAAGGTTTTGCAAAAGGCATCAAAATTTGAAGCATTGGTGAGTCATGTCTTCTGACCAATCGTTGCATAAGCGCTAACTATATGTCTAATTATTTACCAAGACACAAAATAATCCAAAAATGATCAAGCCGTTGTCATAGTATTGATTTTCTAGTTCTAGTTTCTGCAATACTCATCAAATGTAATATCATGATAAAGTGTCTGAGGTAATTTAATTGTTTATACCGATTTTTATAAGACACACTGTCATAGACCTCCAAATGTTTTGTTTGGTAAAGAGGCAATGTACAAGTAGATCATATCCTTACTCATTTCGTACATTTTGTTGTGTAGCTTGAACAAAATATACATAGCTGACGAATACGGTAAACATACAGTCACGGTTCAGTCGCACAGAGCAAAACCGCTACACTGGCATAGCCTGGGCGCCGCGCGCCACGTGCGCTCCGCCGGCCCTTGGAGGCCGCCCCATCAATGTCGATAATACGTACGTTTGATTTGTCAAAAGTTAGTCGCGTATATGGATAGCCAACACAAATTAATTCTATGGAACACCACGCGCAGCGTATGAATGTCGACGATTTTCATAATTCGTAGATCTACTAGAGTCTACATTTATTTTATTTTTTGTATTTATAGCCTAATTATTTTTTTAGGTATACGTGCGTATACCCAAAAATGTCCTTTTTTTAAGTATACGGCGTATACATAAGTATATTCTCCATTACATCACTGGGTTAAAGGCTATCTTAGCATAGATTTCTGTAATTAATTGTTATTATTAGACCTGTGTTTATAATTAGGAGAGCGCTCTAGCCTCCTGTAGTGTGCAAAATGGCTACTTCATCCGCTCCCGCCCGCGAAATTTTTTTTCCCACGAGAGTTCCGGACCCACCACAGATAGTGTTTTGTAATATATGGTGCGTATATAAGACGGACCTGGTTGTATTATAGTTAGTGTTAGGGTTAGGGTTAGATTTAGGGTTAGGGTTAGGTTGTATAAATTTTGCATTGTTGCTTCGAGGTAGTCGAGTGAATGGAGTGCGCTGATTGGCTGGGGTCCGGAACTCTCGTGGGAAAAAAAATTTCGCCTCCCGCCCATCCCCTTGCCTCCATTGTCTTTCGCTCAGCCTCCTTCTTTTTCTCCCGCCCCAGCTATCCTCCCTGCTGCCTTTTCACAGTCTTCCAACACTCACTCTCTCTCTCAGCAAGCTATATTATGCAGTTGTCTTCAGTCCGTATTGTACGCGTGAAACGGTGCTCGCGCATGCGCAATATCTCTCTAGAATATTAATATTTTGCGAAAATTATGCATTTAGAACAGAGAGGAGTTATTCTAGCATAAATTTTTATGATAAAATTCCATCAGTACATCTCACTTAAGAAACAGGAGGATGATCCTGCATTTAAGGTCCCCACTACATAGGCCCTATCCCAGACAGTACATAATCTGGCTACGTTAGTGTGTTAGCGCATGCGCAATATCTCACTAAAAGAGTTATAATTTGTGATTATTATAAATTTAATATGGTTATGGTATCTCAGCATAGATTTTTGTAATTAATTTTTATCAGTAGACCTGTGTTTATAATTAGGAGAGCGCCCTAGCCTGTAGGGTGCAAAATCCCTACTTCATCCGCTCCCGCCCACCCCCTTGCCTCCATTGTCTCTCACTCAGCCTCCTTCTTTTTCTCAAGCCCCAGCTATCTTCCCTGCTGTCTTTCCCCAGTCTTCCAACACTCATTCCCTCTTTCAGCAAGCTATATATTATGGAGTTGTCTTCAGTCCGTATAATATTGTACGCCTGAAACGGTGCTCGCGCATGCGCAATATCTCTCGAAAATATTAATATTTTGCGAAAATTATGCATTTAAAATAGAGAGGAGGTATTCTAGCGTAGATTTCTATAGTAAAATTCCATCAGTAGATCTCACTTAAGAATCAGGACGATGATCCTGCATGTAAGGTCCCCGCTGCATATCCCAGCCAGTACATAATCTGGCAACGTTGGTGTGTTAGCGCATGCGGAATATCTCAATAGAAAAGTTATATTTTGTGATTATTATGAATTTAATATGGTTAGGGGGTATCTCAGCAAAGATTTCTTTAATTAATTGTTATCAGTAGACCTGTGTTTGAAATTAGGAGAACGCCCTAGCCTGTAGGGTGCAAAATCCTTACTTCATCCGCTCCCGCCCATCCTCTTGCCTTCATTGTTTTTCGCTCAGCCTCCTTCTTTTTCTCCCGCCCCAGCTATCTTTCCTGCTGCCTTTCCCCAGTCTTCGAACACTCACTCCTTATCTCAGCAAGCTATATTATGCAGTTGTCTTCAGTTCGTATTGCACGCATGAAACGGTGCTCGCGCATGCGCAATATCTCTCGAGAATATTAATATTTTGCGAAAATTATACATTTAAAATAGAGAGGAGGTATTCTAGCATAAATTTCTATAATAAAATTTTATCAGTAGATCTCACTTAAGAATCAGGACGATGATCCTGCATGTAAGGTCCCCGCAGCATATCTCAGCCAGTACATAATCTGGCTACGTTAGTGTGTTAGCGCATGCGCAATATCTCACTAAAAGAGTTATATTTTGTGATGATTATGAATTTAATATGGTTAGGGGGTATCTCAGCATAGATTTCTGTAATTAATTGGTATCAGTAGACCAGTGTTCATAATTAGGCGAGCGCCCTAGCCTGTAGGGTGAAAAATCCCTACTTTATATGCTCCCGCCCACCCCATTGCCTCCATTGTCCTTCACTCAGCCTTCATCCTTATCTCTCGCTCCAGCTATCTTCCCTGCTGCTTTTCCCCAGTCTTCCAACACTCACTCCCTCTCTCAGCAAGCTATATTATGCAGTTGGCTTCAGTCCGTATTGTACGCTTGAAACGGTGCTCGCGCATGCGCAATATCTCTCGAGAATATTAAATATTTTGCGAAAATTATGCATTTAAAATAAAGAGGAGGTATTCTAGCATAGATTTCTATAATAAAATTTCATCGATACATCTCACTTAAGAAACAGGACGATGATCCTGTATGTAAGGTGCCCACTGCATATCCCGGCCAGTACATAATCTGGCAACGTTAGTGTGTTAGCGCATGCGCAATATCTCACTAGAAAAGTTATATTTTGTGATGATTACAAATTTTACCATATTTTGCTATTGTCGGATAGCCCGTCCATGGTTTGAATTCATAATTTCGCCTCATGCTCTATATTTTCAGCGCCAGCGGGCATGCGCAATCCGACCAATTTCCTTGTGAAACTGATTGCCGAAATGCACAACCCAAGTTTTCTGGATACCCTCTAGATGTATATGCTACTTCCTCTTATATGCACCAAATTTTCGAATACATTAAAA